AAATTTGATAAACTAATGAAAATTTTTTTAAGGAAAATAGAAGGTCGATATATGAATTACATTTAGGTGTTATGTAATGTACACTGGGCCAAAAAAATTGACAATTTTTTTTTTTGAAAAATATATCGAGAATGTCATTCAGGATGACAAAAAAAAATCATGAAAATTTGAGCCCTTAATATTAATTTTAAGAGGTCTATCATCGCTATTTTTGATTTTTAGTCATAATTTGATGAAGTGAAAAAGATCCTTTTAACTTATTTTTATATAAAATTAAATTCTCTACAAAAAAGGTCTGATTGAAAATTTTCGTCAGACGAGCCGTTTCCGAGTAATTGAGCTTAATAGATCGATGTGTTTTTCCGATTTGTTTTTACTTTGAAATTTTGTAACTAATGAATCAATGAATATTTAAGAAAGCTCAGGTTTCTTAAAGGAAATTAAATATTCTACAAAAAAGGTCTCTTAAAATTTTTGCCAAAATTTAATTCTTCAAAAGTTATTCACGATTAAAATCGAAGAAAAAATTGAAATTTTTTGTAGAGAATTTAATTTTATATAAAAATAAGTGAAAATGAATTTTTTTCATTTTAATGTTTTGACAGTTCTAACGTAAAACATAAAATTATGACTAAAAATCAAAAATAGCGATGATAAACCTATTAAAATTAATATTAAGGGCTTAAATTTTCACGAAATTTTTTTTGTCATCCTGTATGACATTCTCGATATATTTAAAAAAAAAAAAAATAATCAATTTTTTTGGCCCAGTCTAATGTAATGAAATAATTTCTTTTACAATTTACATTAAATGAGGACGAGTTTAAAAAAGTTAGAGATTGTTTCTAGATTTGAGTTCGTCTTGAAAAATACTTTTTTCATCCCATATAATTTTTTTTTTTAAATTTACTTATATAATTTTCCAATTTCATTTTATTTATTAGTTTTCTACCGCCATTTTCCTCAGCTTTCATTTTTCGTTAAAGAAATGTAACTGAAAGACATTTTTGTAGTAAGATTTTATCCAAAAAATACAGAGAGCTTTTTAGCATCCATAAAGTTGTTTTTATATGCACATATCACTATAATAAAAAACTACAGTTGGCATTTATTAGCCACAAAAAAAAGATCTAATAAGAATGCTTTTACAACCATTCATTCAAAATATTATGCTAAATAACAGTAATAAAATATTGTATAAATTAAAATTACGAAATCAAAATTATATCAGAAAAATATAAGCTAGGTATATATATTTTTATAATATTATGTAAAATAAGTACAAAATTAATAGTTTTTGACTTTGTTGTTTGTACATACACTCGTATAAATAAAAATAATGTAGGGAAAACCCATAAATAACTTTTAAACTTTGTATAGAGAAGATTTTATTCCACAAACAGTTTTTGTTTTAGGAATAAACGAGGTGTTGTTTAAAAGTTACAGCTTATATTTTTATAACGAGTGTATTTCTAAATATAATTTTGATTTTAATATATGAGAATTTTTTATAATAAAAAGCCACACACAAAAAACTGCATTTTTTAGCAAAATAAATGCTAAAAATTAAATTGATTATCTACGCATTGAACAAATTTTAGTAATGATCATTTTATCATAAATATGTGGATTATAATTTTGTGGTTAATTAATTAAGATCCTCTGTATACAGCATTTTTAAGCGCTCATTACAGAAATTAAATACAGATAATTTGTGAGTAACCCCAAAAATTGTAATCTAAAAATCAATTGGATATTACTAAATGAAATACTTTCCAAAATTTGAACTTAACTTCAACAAAAAATAAGACTTTTTTCTATCTTTCTTTGTAGATTTTGGTTGGAAATTTATGGCATCTTTAAAGATAAATTCGGCATAGTTGTCACCTCATTACCCTGCTCTGTCCCTCTACGGCTCAAGGCACCCTTACGTCATAAATTATTGATGATTTATTTTTTAAAGCATTCCCAATATAAAAAGTAATCAGTAAGAAATATAATTTTTTTTCGTATTGCTAGTTTTGTAACTTATTTTTTTTGATGTCTATCAATTTCAAGAAAGTTTTAGTAATGGCCAAAAGTTAGGGGCAGTAAATTTGAAAGTAATTTCGGTAAAAATCGGCCCTTGTGTATAAGTGTAAATGTTATACAGTGTGGAAAAGCCAAATGGAATAAATTCATTATTTCGATTACTATACATATTTATAGAAAATCCCGAAACACGTCAAATTTAAATTATAAATTGACATTCTTTAAAGTGAAAATGTGATCCCTACCTTCAACCCCCTTTGAGTAACAGTTAGGGGTTGTAACTGTTACTCAAAGGGGGTTGAAGGTAGGGATCACATTTTCACTTTATAGAATGTCAATTTATAATTTAAATTTGACGTGTTTCGGGATTTTCTATAAATATGTACAGTAATCGAAATAATGAATTTATTCCATTTGGCTTTTCCACACTGTATATTAGATGTATAAAGTGTTGCCTTGATAAAGGTAGAATTTACTTGTAGCCAAAGAGGAATGTGGTTTTATTCAGCGATAACTCTAGCATGTGATTGCTGTCCTTAATATTCCGAATGTATGAGAAAAGGTTCTACCATGAATAAAAGAACATGGACAACCATTGTTAATCTTGGGAATTAAAAAATCAGGACTTACATATTCAAGTTCAACAGTTCATAGAGATTGTTTTTGTTTGACTTGTAACATTTTGGTCATAATGTTTGTTTTTTGAGATTTTGAGAGTTTATTTTAAAAAAAAACTGGTTATTATTGAAGTGAAATTTTAAGCATAAATAAATAGTGAAAGAAAAATGAAAAATCACTTTTCTTGCAGTGATTTACAGTTGTTTTCATATTCTTCAAACAGTAGTCTGTGAAGGGTATTATAGGTTTACTTTTAAGGAACCAAAATTTTTAATATTGTACTATTGTACTAAGATCCTTCTCATCAAATTTTAAACAATTTTTAAAAATGTTCGTCCGTTTGATGTTACATTTTTTGGCCACACGATAACTCAAAAAACGAAAAATGATATCAACTTGAAATTTTTAGCAAAAATCAAGATCTATAAGGGGATAAAGCCCATTAATTTTGAAAAAAATATGTTTAAAAATGGGGGGGTTTAAGAGGGGGTGAAATTGAAAAAAAAAATTAAAAACGAAAAGCGATAACGACATGAAATGTTTAGTAAAAATCAAGCTTTGTGAGGAGACGAAGCCTATTGATTCTAAAAAATTCTGAATAAAAAGGGTGGGGGGTTAAAATATTTAAAAAATTCCTAACTCAAAACGAAAAATGATATCAACTTGAAATTTTCAGCAAAGATCTATAGGGGGATAAAGCTTATTGATTTTGAAAAAAATATGATTAAAAATGGGGGGGTTTAAGAGGGGGTTGAAATCGTAAAGAAAAATTAAAAAAAGCGATATCGACATGAAATTTTTAGTAAAATCAAGGTTTGTGAGGGCCTATTGATTCTAAAAAAAATCTGAATAAAAATGGGGGTTAAAATATGTAAAAATTCCTAATTCAAAAACGAAAAAGGATAGATATCAACTTGAAATGTTTAGCAAAAATCAAAATCTATATGGGGGATGGAGTCCATTGATATTGAAAAAAAAAAAAACTGATTAAAAATGGGGGGTTTAGGGCGGTTGAAATTTAAAAAATCATAAATAAAAAACGAAAAGCGATATCAACATGAAATTTTTAGTAAAAATCAAGCTCCAAAAGGACATAATGCATATTGATTCTGAAAAAAAATCTGAATAGAAAGGGGGGGTTTAAAATATTTAAAAAAATCCCAACTCAAAAACGAAAAATGATATCAACTTGAAATTTTTAGTAAAAAGCAAGCTTTATAAGGAAATGAAGCCTATTGACTCTGAGAAAATCTAAATAAAAATGGGGGGTTAAGGGGGGTTAAAATATTTAAAAAAATCCTAACTTAAAAAACAAAAAAACGACATCAACTTGAAATCTTCAGGAAAAATCAAGTTTTATAAAGGGATTCTGAAAAAAATCTGATGGAAAATGGAGGTTAAGGGGGTCTGTTAAATTATGAAGGGTACAATATAGAATGTCAAGCAAAATATCTTCATTCTAGTAAGTTAATTTTTTTTTACTACCAAGATGCGATAAAAAAAACAATGGTTCAAAATGTAAATGAATATTTTCTAAAAAGTATCTTGGTTACTTTTTATACATGGGTTGCTAAAAAGTGTGTTCTTTTCCAAGTCACTTATACTCGTAAGCCATAGTATATATACAGAGTGATCCTCATAATTTTTTTATTTATGGAGAGATTTTGACGATATTTTTTTTGAAATGTGAAGAGGGAAAGATGAATTTTAGAGCCAAGCGATGTCCAATTTTTTTTTTTAAACCAAGGCCTACTTATTAACTTTTTTTTATCGTATGAGTTACTAGATAAAAAGCTTAATTTCTAATGCATAATGAACAACTTGTTATTAATTTAGTAATATAATCGTTAATTTTGAATATTTTTTTCATGAAACTTTGGACAGATATATTTCAGAGGACGCCGATTCCAGTGGCGTACGCGAATTTTTTCTACAAAAAAATCGCTAATATGGATTCTGGATTTTTCAGCCTTTGAATGTGATTTAGTAGGCCTTGGTTTTTAAAAAAAACTGGACGCAGCTTGGCTCCAAAATACACCTTTTCCCTCTCCACATTTCAAAAAAAATCCTCAAAATTGCTTTATAAATAAAAAAATTATGAGAGTTGCCCGCTATCAAATGGGTCACTCTGTATTACCGTAAATACCCAAAGTCGGTTAATACTCGATTTTACCACAGAAAAATAGTTTTAACTATGACCTTTAGTCAATTCTAGTTAAAAGAAAAACTAGAATAAACAATTATTTTTAGCTTATTCTAGTTTTAAAAAGCGAAAATAAATTCAAATTATCAAATATGACAAATTTAAAAATAAACAACAAAGGAAAAAGAGAAAAACTCAAAGTACGTGTCACGAAAACAACAAGCGACAATTTATTTACTGAAAACAACTACTCCTTTAGCTAATACCGCAACAGGCATAGCATTGTATCAAAAAGGTAGTTTTCAACACTGTAACTGTAGGACGTCATTCTTTTTAACTGATTTAGTCCTTATTAGCAAGAAATAGACATCCTCGACTCCAGTTTCTAATGAAGTCTACCGATTATACAAAATTTACTCGCACACATTAACAGAGGTTGAGAGTCTGTAGATATTCAACGAGCAAAAATGGTAACGCCATCTACACTCGCTGTGGTACCTAGTATTCTAGAACCAGGCAATTATTAAAGGGAAATACAATCCAATTCTCAAATGTTATCATTTTTAAATTGTACCAGATTGTTTATTTCTTACTGATGAGTCTTAATAGGGTCAAAAGCTGTCCAAGAATGAGGTTCTCCTTTGATATGGTTTAATTATCAAGAATCTTATCTTTATAATATCATACCTACTAATTTAAAAATCGTATCTCTAAATTTATTTAAGGGGAAAGTGACTAAAATGCTGTTGGACATAACTCCTTATAGTCTAGAGGAGTTTTATGATCATTTTAAAGGCTAATATCTGTGCATATTTGTGTATTTTTAATTGTATACTCCGTAATCTCATCTGACCTGACCAATGGCCATTAGGCTCCAAATTGTATTTATGGACCAATAAAGAATAAGAATCAACAATATTGCAGCGACATCTATTTGGGTCAAACAGAAAGGAAAAATCTACAATAAGGATGAGAAAGGATATCGTTTGAATTTGTACTACCAGCAACGAGTTCTTGCCCGAAAATGAGCAAAAAGAAGTTCATTTAGTAATCCACGAAAAACTTCTTCAATATTGGATGCGTAAATGCAATGGATCAAGATATATCTCCAATGATTCTCCTCAAAGGAAAGAGGATGTAAAAAACTTTTGAAGATGACCTGCCAAGTGGATCTGTGGTACATATGACTCCTAAGGGAAGCTGGCCAAATTTTTAGAATAAGTCTACACCTCCAGTTCTTTGCATTTTGATGGTGCTTTCTTTTATATGTATATATCATTTGTTGTGTCTCCTAAGTAATACAATATACGTATTACAGCTCCTAGGATAGTTTTTCGTTCTTTTGAATACCATTAGGATCAAGAACTCCTACGATATTGGGAACTCTAAACAAAGAAAGATTTTTCAACGCCTTTACACCAGAGTGTATGACTATTGCCAATATAACCAGTGGCTTCAGAGCAACCAGTATTTATGCCTTAAGTTTTTCAGACAAAGACTAGCTTGTCAATTTATTTTTCAAAAGTATTGATTACTACATAAATCAAGATAAAAGCCACAAATTTACCAATTCCAAATAAAGATCTGAACCGCAAATCACTAGAAGTGACCAAAATACTCTTTCAAGATAATAATTCCCTTCGAATAAAAATTGGAACACAAAAACCTAATCTTTAGAGCTTAGACCATCGTCTTCCAAAGGTTTATTTCCATCTGACTTGCAGTTACCTCTTTGTCTCCAATTTTACCATCTAAACTACACTGTTGCCTTAATTATTCCAATTGCATCATACTTTTAACCAATGTTACCTCTTTTATCCCCTTTTCAGCATCACTGATATCTCAAATATTACTCCATTTCCACAATTACCCTAAATGTTACTTCTTTCGTCAAAAAAATACCCTAAATTTCAACTACATTTTAAATATTACCTTAAGTTTTACTACACTTTTCAAAAAATAAACAAATTCTACCTCTTTTCAGCAACATTTTCGCCTTTTCTTCTAATATTACCCAAAATTTTATTGACTGGACTTTTGGTCATATACGGAAGATAAAAAGGAGTGAGACAATGCTCTAGGTCGAATATGTTAAGTTCAGGACTAGGTTTAACAAGTAACAGCTGCTTTAAATTAAACATTTCGAATTTTTGCTTTTAACTAAGAGTATCTGACCATTCTAGTTCCATTCATTCAAATCTCTGATTAGAGATAGTTAAAACTAATTTTTCCTAGTAAAATCGAGTTTTACTTGAAAACTGATACTCAATCACTTTATTCTTCATTGCAGTTCATTTTGGAGTAAAATTACCAATTCTATATTCTTTTTGTTACAAAATATCATTTAAAGAAATATTAAATTCAATGTGTAGCTTTTTAAATAAAAAAAATAGCATCCAAAGATTAGAAAAACCCAATTCAGCCAATAAAAAATCTTTCACTCTAGATATCACATAAATCATTATTAATTTAGGCTCTATCAAAAAAACACTACGTTTCCAACGAAGCGATTAAATTATGGAAAACGTTATTTTGAAATTCACTAAACATCGATGCGTGTCCACAACTATAAGCACTGTCAGTGTCATTTTGAGACGAATACCGCAACCTCGTCTGAGGAGGCTCCACGGGTATGTTGTTGTTTAAAAAATTATTTACACTAAAATTTGTTAACGAACTATCACAATTTTTTGCCTCTAAATCTTGACTGGGTTCTTCCAAGTCGATTTTGAGTCGTTTCGGAAGAGGCTCATCGTCGACTACGTTGACGTCTTCATCTTCGTCGATGCAGGTCAGCATCCTAGGTGTCGGCGGCATATAGAACTGGGATAGAACATCCTGAACATCACAATCATCCATGTCATCGAAAGATCTTTTCCTCGATGATAACCTGCTGTTAGTATCAGTAATATCGCTCGATGTATCAGTTAGAAAGCTTTCAGATGAATTTAGACCGTTCAAATTATCTTCGACCATACTAAGTACTTCTTTAGAATTCACTTCGTTAATTTCTTCAGCCAGTTTGGTATCGAAATCGTCTAAAGCATCATCGGAAAGACTTTGCGATTCTTCTAACCTATCGTTCTTAAGATACGTATCGTTGTCATAGCAACGGGGGTAGTGAAGCTGCTGTTTCTGAAGCTTCTCCTCTTTGGCCTCCTTTTGCAACCTCTTCATTGTATTATTGATCAACACAGATCGGCATAAACTTGCTTCGGGGTCTTCGATTTTCTTCAGCTTGTTGATGCTGATTTTGAGGACTTTCCTCCTCTCTTCTTTTTGGCGGTATTTCGCGGATATCATGGAGGGGCGGTTTTTTGGAGGGCAGTAACCGGTCGGGTAAGTACGGGGCGGGCCGAAAATGTCATCGCAGTCGTCTGTTTCGGCGGACGGTGGAGGTTTCATTGTAAGAGATTGGTGGTAACCTTAAACAAAGAAAAATAAAGTTAATTATGATTTGTTTTTAGGCAAGGATGTTTAAACAAGCAATTTTATTGTAGATAGAAATATTCAGACCTTGATAAATAGTCTACTATTTTTATTGTATCTAAATTTTGAGTGTTTTTGATATCAATCTGTAGAGATATAATTTTGTTATTAATAATCTGAATACAGCTATAAAGCTCTCGGACTCTATCTAGATTATTAATGACAAAATTATGTGGAGACAAATTGCAAAATACACGAAAAATTTGTGACAATAGAAATAGGCGCCAATTTATTAAGGTTGAGTTATATAAATAACTTTTATTTTCGGTTAATTTTAAAATTTTCCCGGGGGTGGTTACAATACATCTGACCATTGTGAGTGATATCCAGTGTAAAATTTCTTCGTTACTAAGTGAAACTGCATTTTATTTCATAAAAGTAATTAAACCAAGTTTTTTTTATCGCTTTTTTTTTGTAATTTTACGATTAAGCAGTGACAAAAACTTTTTGTGATAAGAACAATTTGAAATCTAAATGAAAGTGGCTATTGTTCCATTCTGACGTCGTTTTACTCAGCAGGTAGATAAATATAGAAAATGGGCAAATCTTTTAAGTGCTGTCAGAACAAAATATTTGGAAATTATATATGTATCAGATTTATAAATATTTTTCATCCGAGTTGTTTCGAGAGGATGAAAAATGTTAAAATTTTGAAGGGGTATAGGATGATCTGTTCTATCGAGTGTGCTGAAAAAGATGATAGCTGTGCCGGAGTTGAAAATGATCCTGAAGAGTTATTGAAAGAGCTAAATGAACTGTTAGGAAATAAAGATATAGAAATAAGCAACTTAAAAAAATCATGAAAATTTTTGAAATTGACAGAAAAATTGCTTCAGATAGGGACGAGCAACAGATGATAATAACTATTCTAAAAAATGAAATTAAAATTTTAACAGAAACAATATAGATATTAGAGCAGAACTGGAACTGAGTCAGGAACATCTGCTTGTAATGGAGAAAACTAAAGAGGAACTAACGGACATCCTAAAGATATTGTTAATTTCAATTGAAACCTTAGAAAACGAAAACGAGTTGATGTTGGTAGATCTGAAATCGACACTTTGTTATCGAAAAAAAAATTATATTTTTAAAAATTACATGGTGCTTGCTAACCTTCGAAAGAAGCCAGCAGAGCAAAGCTTTTTTCTAAAAACCACACCCTATTTTTAGGATATTTTTAGAGTCTTGAAATATTGTAAAACTTTACTAAAAAAATTACTATTTTTAAATAATACAGGGTGCTTTGTTGGAACAAAGTCAGCAGGACACTTCAGTTTTTAATTTGTTTTTTTATATATAAAAACAACTACTTATGACACATGTTTAGGCTATTTTAAAATCCTAAAAATGTGGTAAGTATATTTGTTTTCAGAAAAAAAAAAAAAAAACTGAAGTCAACAAGGAATTAGGAATTTTTTTAAAAATGCCAAATTTCGAATATTTTATAATATTGTAGGAGCCAAAAAACATGGTGGTTTAAAAAAAAACTGGAGTGCTCTGCTGGATTCGTCTGAAGCTAACAAAGCATCCCATAATTTTTTATTTTATAATACTCAATCGCCCAAAATGAGACATAGCTGTTTAAAAAAAACTTGTACTTTTAAAAATAGCAGTTTTTTTCGAAAAGCTCTATAATTCAAAAATCTGAAAATGTGGTGAGATTGTTTTTTAAAAAGTTTTGAAAATCCGAGGTTCTTTACTGGATTCGTTCAGAGCTAGTAAAGCTCTGCTCGTCTTGTTACATAAAATAAGGCATTTTGTAGCTGGTTATATAGTTATTTTGTATCTACATATCTAACCCTTTTATTTTTTTCAGGTGGTTGTAAACATGTAGCTTTTTTGCTGTGGCTTCATAGAAGAAGTGAGGAACCATCTGTAACATCTACTCAGTGTTATTGGAAAGGCTCTTAATTTATTAAAATGCGTAAATATTGATGTAGACTTGGTATAACATCAGAATATGTAATCGAGGTAAAATGTCCATCAAAGGACAAGGACAGCACTGTGAGGAATTATGTAGAAGATAGCAAAATAAAAAACAAGTTTTATTATCAAATTCAACTTCAAATGTATTTTGCTAATTATCAAAAAGGTTTTTTTGCATTGCTTCTCGCACATTTGAAGCAAATAATGAGGTAGAAATAATTGAGGTTGAATTTGATAATCAATCTTTAGAAGAAATTCTAAATTGTGTAACTACGTTCTGGAAAGAAGCTATTTTCAAATGTTTAATGGCTAGTTATTCTTAGGATTTGTATATATATTTTTTATTTGTAAATAAATTGTTTTTTACTTTATTTTTCTCATTTTTTATTAAAAGGTTAATACAATTGTCACAGATTTTACATTTTTGTTTGTAAACAATAATTAAAGAGTTTTTATTAAAAATCACCAATGTTAATAATAATAATAATAAGTCAACATTATTCTTTCTTCTTTTTAGACCGTCAGATAGTGACCGATTTTGGTGCCCCATTTTCGCATACAAGTCTCGAAGAGGGTTGAAAAGTACATCGATGTTGAGAAGAATAAAAGAAATTTTACAAATGGCTCTTGGGGATAACACATGGAAAATTCGATTTTCCTTATCAGACAAATTTTCCGACCTCAAAATGTATTTATACATTCGGGTCATTCAAGAAAATATGTTTTTCGGACTAGTGACGACGTTCGTTTTCATACATTCGATGGACTTGTGTGGAAAAATCGGGCAAAATCTCGATTTTTCCTTAGAAGATTACGCCCTTATTTCAACCCTTTAGCCACTTGCAACATAAAAGCCATTGGTTTTCTGAAGCCTAGTTCTATTAATTAATCATGTAGTGAAAACGGCTTGAGTGGAAAAATGGGCAACAAATAACCTTTCATTTTTGTTAAGGAAAATCGAATTTTCCATGTGTTATCCCCAGCAGCCACTCGTAAATTTCCTTTTATTCTACTTAAAATCGAAGTACTTTTCAACCCTCTTCGAGGCTTGTATGCGAAAATGGGGCACCTAAACATGTCACTATCTGACGGACTATTTTTTAAAGGTACTATCAATAAAGGTATTACTTTAGCTTGACCTACGATCAATTTTTACTTTCCTATCTGTATACAGATATAAGGAAAGTATAGGAATCATGATTTTTTTCGACCTCGAGTTTTCGACGGAGTTTTACGTTTTGAGGTCCCCTGAATCCGTTTTGACTATTTTCGCGATGATGTCTGTGTGTGTGTGTGTGTCTGTATAACGCATAACTCATGAACCGATACACAGAAAAACACCAAATTTTAAACTTAAGCTTTGTTTCAGCGTCCAATGAGCTGATTAGATTTTGGGCAGAGTCGGAACATCTGGGGGGTACTTTATAGGTGGTCATTTTTATATTTTATGGAATATATCTGTTATTTACGTTTAGAGAAGAAAATTCTTCAAATAAAAGTTACTTCTAATATAATTATCTATAGTTTTTGTTTTATGCAAAATTTTCCTAAAATGGTCCGTATTCGAGAAATTTTACAAAATGTAAAAAAAATAATTTTTTATGAAAATTGTTCAAATAAAAGTTGTTTGTAATATAATTCTCTATAATTTTTATTCTATACATAATTTCTCTAAAATGGACCGTATTCGAGATATTTGGGAAAATGTGTAAATTTCGAATTTTGAAGAAAACTCAAAAACGGATAAAGAAAAAAACATTAAATTTTAAACTTAAGGTTTATTTCCGCCTGACGTGAAATAATTAGATTTTGGACATAGTCAGAACATCTGGGGGGTACTTTATGGGAGGCCACTTTTATATTTTATGGAATATATCTGTTATTAATGTTTGGAGAAAAAAATTGTTCAAATAAAAGTTACTTCTAATATTATTATCTATAATTTTTGTTTTATGTAAAAATTTCCTGAAATGGTCCGTATTCGAGAAATTTGACAAAATGTGAAAAATTCTGATTTTTAATAAAAAAAAAGTTTAATTAAATTAATATTTACTCTTACAAAATAGGTTCTTGTAAGTTAACAATACCACAAGCAATTATGCAGATATTACTAAGTAAATGTACTTGCTTAAAATTCACACAAATGTGGTTTTAACATGTGAAATTCCCTAACCCTTCTTATAACTCTTTCCACATGTATTCTTAGAGATGCTATTCTTTCACTAAATTGTACATCTTCTGGAAAACTTTTTTCATTCTGTGATACACTAGGTGGCCTTACTAAAGTACCTACATCCCATGTTTTCAAGTAATGGCTGAATATTCTTAAACCCTCTATCTGCCATTACATGGGATCCAGGAACCAGTTTGTTTAAATATTCACATTTTTCTATTATTTCTTTATCACTAATTCTTCCAGAAAATGATGAATAAATTCGCTATCATCAAAACTTTCAGGAGATTCTGGATTTTCTTCCGGAGGGGTTTTTAGGTCATACACCTTAGAATTTATAGTAGCCTCATTTTGAATTTCCTGAAGGGGACAATTAGCAGAAATTGCTGCTACATCTTAAATATCCGGTGTATTTGACGAGAAACATCGCTAGTAGAAGGTTGATTTTCTTCTTTCCAAATTTCTAGAAACACTAATAAATATTCTTGAAGATGAATGTGAATCATTATCACATTCTGGAACAAAACACTTTTTCGTAGTCATAATATTTATAAAAAGTACAAAATTAAACCCTCAAATTCGAAATAAATTCTTGATTGAGACACTATAACAGATGACACATACAGTGCTGCCGTTTTGCCATTTTCTGAATTTTTAAGTGACTTTTAAAACAATGAAACTTTAAATATGGTAAAAGTTTAAACAGAAATAATACTTTCAAAAAACATTTGACATTATATATTTAAAAGATATTTGTTTAACGAGGTTTTAGAAGTCTAAAAGTAAGAAGGAGTACACAAACGAACGCACTTCTCACTTCTCGTAAACCTTTAAACC